AGAACTAAAGCATCGTCACGTCATGGCAGCAGCCTTTTATTTCATTTAATCAGTTAGTTTCATTATTTTTGTGGCATTGTTGTAAGTGAAAAAGAAACGCTGCACTAATGGCTCTAAAAATGGGATTTTTGTTGCATTTTTGTCAAAGACATTCTGTTTGTACGTTGCAGAAGGATTACCGTTTTTTGATATTTTAAACTGTGTGTGTGTGTGTGTGTGTGTGTGTGTGTGTGTTTTCCTCTGCTCTCCAGGTGAGATTGCTCTGTTGATGAACCGTCCCCGTGCTGCCACCGTGGTCGCCCGCGGCCCCCTGAAGTGTGTCAAGCTCGACCGGCCTCGCTTCGAGCGCGTCCTGGGTCCCTGTTCAGACATTCTCAAACGTAACATCCAACAGTACAACAGCTTCGTCTCGCTGTCTGTCTGAAGGGGGGCACCCCTCCCTCTCCCTCCCTCCACCCCTCTCCCTTCTCCTCTCCTTTTAGACCCAGGGTCCACCAATGCAATTTGCTTTTTGTCACTTTCTTCTTCTTTCTGTTCACTTTTTTTCTTCCCCCTCTTTGTTTTACACACACACACACACACAGATCATTTTGTTGTTATCACCCGTCAGGCAGAGGTGACTTTTAGCCATTCACCAGCGCTTGTACCAGCTGCTGTACGCTACCTTGTAGGCACAGTTACATCACATGTTACCTATGTTATATATGTATTTGCTGGTTACGCTTTCTTTTTGACTTAAACACAAAACGGGATTGTTAGGAGATCTCAAAGACATTTGGGTCTCAGACTGATGAGACAGGACAATCAAACTTTACAATGGCGCTTTTGGTGAATTTGTTACAGATTTATGTTGTAGATTGAAGCGAAGAGGAATGCTTCTTCCCCGTTTAAGAGTTTCCTTTCTGACATCAGTTAGCCCGATTAGATGAACAGCGTAGAGCAGAACCTAGAAACTAGAGAAGGCAGGAAGAATATGACTGCTTCAACTTTTGTTCTTTTTAGGTTTCAGCTGTGTTGATGCTCCATTTGTTATTTTTGGTTACCTTACCTGATTGGTATGATGAGATGATGATTTTGCTTAATTTGAGAGAGCTTGTGCAACTTAAGGTTTTTATTTAATTGTGCAGCTACCAGGCTAGTGCCAAATGTTGATTATTGTCACAACGCAAAGATGCATAGCCGTGGAAATGCAGTGCGTGTTCTGTTCCCTGACTATTTGGAGCTCCAAACAGGAAGTAGTTATTACCCTTATTGTCCTCTTAATCGGTAGATTGACCATACAAGAACTGCCTTGACTACTCTGAGGAAAAAAAAAAAAAAAAAAGAAAGGGAAAAAAAAAACAAGAGTATTAAGTGTATTTCAGTATTCAATTTTTTAGTATATACCAAATAACTTCACTCTTCTGCTATGGTTTGTAATCAAAATGTTATCATAGTATAGTTAAAACGATCATAGTTCTATTATTATCATTGACTAAATGATAAACTTATGGTTTGGAGTGATGGTGATCTTAAAAAATATGTTTAACTGTCTTTTGTAAACACTTATTTTTCCATAAATTCTATTTTAGGTGTCCAGTGCCACAAAGTAAATAAATGCTTCTTCTTGTCAACTGACAAAACAGTATGTAATTGTATTGTGTAAAACGTCATGGGTTAAAACTTTTTAAAATAGATCAAAAGGGTAACTACTGGTTTATTGAAGTGAAGTCTTGGAAAAAAAAAAACTAAAGAGATGGTTTATGGATTTTTAGGACATCTGAAGTATTTATGCATCAAAGCATCACAGGTGAGCTGACAGGCAGAGTGAGCAGGTATTTATTTAAAACTAGTGTCATTGCTTATTGCCTATTTGAAAAGGTGGCTGTCTTCTCATCAGAGTAGCTTGTGATCTGTTCTCTATGCTTACTTGGCATGATGTTTTAGGCATCCAGTGATCCGGTATGAATGGAAGCGTGAATTTAAAAACCATGCCCTGCAGCTGCGTGCAGAAGCAGGTCAGATATTTGGTTTGTTACTCCCTAGCTTAACTGCTTCATGACTAGTTAGATGACATAAAATGTTAAGTCTGTCTTTTCTTTTCTTTTCTTTTCTTTTCTTTACTTTTTTTTTTCTTTTTTTTTTTTTTTTTTAAATATCTTTACCAAATCACACAATGTTGACTTATGGATTATAGACTTAACTCTTCATTCCTGCCTCACTGTTACCAGTTTCTGTTTTGTCTCATTCAAAGCACTTGAATGCGCTTAGAATTGAGATGTATGTTTGTACGTCTATGAAGATTTGATTTTGGTGCCGATTGCAGGGTAGTCAGGTTAGTGAGAAGAGTTTTTGTGAATGGACATGAGTGTATTTTTCTTTACAGTTAAATCAAGCATCTTCATCTGTTCCCCCTAACCCTCAGGTTGTCCTTGTGGATGTGGTTACATGTGGATTTCTTGTCCATTGGCAACACATCCTGTTTATCCTGATCCACAGGAAATGACTCCGTTAGGGGCGAGGGTTCGATTCACCTTTTGTCGAAATATTGTTTTCATGTAAATAGCAGCAGCATCGGTTTTATTCCAAAATGTTTTTAGCCACACTGCAATTGTCCCGGTTTGCCTTAGCTTACCTAACCTGGGCTTACAGTAGTAGTTGGTCACTCCTGCTAGCCCGACCTTCAGTGAGTTTGTTAGTCCTGCAGCGCAAGAGAGCTGCAGGCGATCAGAGGACCATTCTTTTTGTATTCTACCCTGTATTCAGTTTGACCTCCTGTATGTGCAAAGATGTTTCTCCTTTTGGTATAGATTGTTCCAGATGGCAGTTTAAGCAATAAAAAAGTAAAAATGATTCAGCTTTTTCTCTGGCTTCGTTCTTTATTTGAGATTTGTTACAGTTCATGATGCTTATTACCAAAACTGTACTTTTAATGTCACTGGTTTGAATGATGTGGAATTCGTTAGGAAGGCAATCCACCTACAGCTTCAACCAACAGTTATTTTTATTATAGATTATTCTGCAGTTCATTTATCTATCAATTGTTTGGTCTATAAAATATCAGGCAATAGTGAAAAATGTCCATTCTAGTTCAGTCCAAGGTGACATCTTCACGTCTTGTTTTGTCAGACCAACAATCCAAATCCCAGAGATACTTTGTTGTAATTATATAAAACGGAGAGAAAAAGCAGCAAATATTCACTATTGCAAAGCTGTAAAAGGGGAATTTGGCACATTTTTGCACGAAAACAATTATTCTGTATAGTTCCAGATTACTTTTCTATGAATCAACATAGTTTTTCAGCTCTAATCTCACCAACAAGAGCAAAACTTATTAGACTTTCTCTGAGTGTGAGGAGCAGTTTGGGACCTGCCGGCCCAGTGTATACTCAAAAAGGTGTAATATGAAATGTGTCCACCAGGGGGAAACATAATAGTGCCCTAAGTCTGTAAACGCCTGATAATCACTGGTGTTCATTCATTCCTACACAAAAACTTAAAGCCTTTTATTTTTAATTTACTGTATACCTACATTTTAGATATACAACCTTTCTCATTCCTCTCTTGTAAACTCATTATTTTAAACAATACTTGGTCTGGTTAATGATCCACTCTCTCTCTGGTCTTCCTTTAAGAGCATTTTATGGCTTTAGACAACTTAGGTCATGTTTCCATGCAGTGATATTTTCAAACAATGAGCAAAGGTTTTAAACTTGATTATTGACAATTGTACTTGGCTCTGGGAAGCACCAACATTGCTGCTTAAAAATTGTTGCACATGGTTATTTGGAGTTTGGAAAAGTTCAATCTGTTCCTTCCTCTCCTAATTGGCCATTCTTCATTTCTGACGGTTTTAAAATGTTTATTCCTGTTGCTAGGTTGCTAGTGAAGATATACTGCATAAATGCTGTCGTAGGATTGGATGTACCTGTGCTTGAGAGCACATTTTATGATATGGAGGCTTATCAACCTCCCTCTGCCTGCGTTGTCAGGCTGATGTCTGACTTTATTTGGCAAGATTGGCCAACTCTTAAGATCTCTTAAAAATAGTTGTGGTTATTCGTCTGACTTCACATCTTGGAACGTATCAGGATTGTTGGAAAAGAACAAAGAAAACAACAAAGGCCAAAGCTCAGACATGTTCACAGAGGACAACACACTCAGATATTTATACTAGATATTAAAGTAGAAGAATGGAAAACTTGGTTTGCTACACAATTATTATTATAGTGTTGGGACATAACAGATATTAGTTCGTTGCTTTAAGTTTGCCATTTTTCTGCCTCAGCCTGTTTTAGTTGACAGTGATGTCGTAAAGCTGTTTAAACACTCAGATGAGACAGAGAGGGATTACAAGTCTGGAAAATGGGGTGGAGTAAACTAAATGACTGTTTAATAGGTAGCACTTTTCTCTTTCACACACACACACACACACACACATAAACACACACCAGCTTACACTTTTACTTGCAGGTGATAGCTTTTCTTAAAAACTTGCGCTGTCATCAGATAAAATAACTTTATTTTCTAATTTAAACATCACATGGACGACACACACATCTCTCTAACAGTCAGCGTTCATTTGACAAACGACTGATCCAGTGCATCACAGCTCTCCTGTGTGAACTTCTATGCTGATGTTGATGTGTATGACGGTGAGAGCGTGTCTGTGGCTCCATGTACGAATGAAATCTTCTGTATTCACTGATAGTATCACTACTATATTTTTACTCTCCCCGCTAATTTTCCAGCTGATGTTGGTCTTCAATTGTTCTTTAAAAGGCCTTAATTTATATGTACAAACCTTCTAACCACCCTGATCTATGTGCATATGGGGTAGTTGAGAGCCCTGTCATAAAATGCACCCTTGGGGGAGAAGTTATGACGATGAGAGAAACGAAGGGAAATAAAGGTGCGTCTCCCTCTGTGATAGGAATTTGAGGCCTGCAGAGATTCACGTTCTGAACCTCCCCAATGAGCGTCTTCCATTTATGGCTTGTTCCTTAAATCGAAACCACAAAAGGTGACTGTGCTTCACCATGAAGTCTTCTGTGGTACAAAAAGCAGGAGGGACGAGCCTATCATCCTCTGTTACCTGGTCTTTTTCATCTCTGTGGCAGTCTGAGGTTTCGCTGTGGATTTGATAAAGTCCTTGGTGATCACCTCATCCTCGCCCAGCCTCCGGACGCAGCGCTGGACGACTCGGAGGATTTTCTGTAACCGGCGGTCCAGCGCTAAAAGGTGAGGCTCCATCAGGATCGGCTGTAAAGGGTCTCCGTCAAGGGACTCCTTCATCACGTCGCTGAGCCTGTACTCTGGTCGGGCCAGGAGCTGGAGCCGGAGCAGAGTGGAGCGCTTTATCCTGAGGAGGGAATGGAGAAGAAAGAAGAGAGAAGTTTGCTTGACATATATACTCATATATAAAGACATTTATACATTAGGAAGCATTTTAATTGTTCACATACATTTTTTGTATGAAATCCTTCAAATGTAAGTCCACAAACCAACAGAGAAAAAGCTTCTTCTGCTGCACTATACTACATCTTACTTACATGCAGCACTGAGATAGCGGTGCCAGGATGGACATCTCATCTTGAGAGTGCTTTCCAAACCTGAACACAGGGTGTTATGTCACATGAAGCCTTCTATAAAATATAATTTCACAATAATTTAATTCTCAACAATGTTTTCTACTCACCCTCTGGCGTTGTCCAAGTGGAGAAGGAATCCTTCATCCCCAAACTTGGTAAAAATCTCATAGTGGTGTCTGTCCATGTTACCTGCGATAGAGGGTGAAAACCTTTACAGAAGTGTGTGGAAAGAGGTTTTCTGACAGTGAAAGGTCCACTGGTTGTATCAAGAGTAGATAATGTAGTGGAATAAAATACCTATGAGGAAGTCGAAGATGGACATGTCTATGATGTTGAGGAGCCTGTTGCCGGAGTTATATGGATACAGCTGCTTTATGGTGTCACAGTAGAAAGGATTCACTTCCCACCTTTAAAACCCGCACAGATAAAGAGGAGCAGTTAGAAAGGATTTACAGAGAATATTATCTGAGCTAACATAAAACAGTGTCCATATTTACTGCTTAATGTCCTTAGAATTTCCTTGCAACATTGGGTTGGAGGTGGAGTTAATGGCAACCCCCCTTAGTTGATTTATTGCACAGGAAAGGAAGAGGTTGCTGTTAGTCTGGTGCAAATTCACTTCATATGTTTCAAAAACAGTGGGTTGTGTAGCAAAGAAAGAACGGATGAAAGAGAAAAAGCCTTTGACCAAAGACAAACATCCAATTTGATTCAGAATAAACAGGCTATATGGGAAGTGGCCTTTTATTTTGAAAATACTAGATTTTATAATCTTGCTGAAGGCCACCACAGTTGGATTAGCTGTGCATGTTGCATGTTGCACAAGACAACAATTTATCAAATGCATGTATCGCAGTATAAGATAAAATGTAATTCCTCTGGAGTATGCATTGTTGTGGTCTTACTCTTCTCTTCCGGTGAAAGTGTACGATCGTATCCAGGGGTTGGGGATGGAGATGCGGGGAGCGATGCTGAGGCCGGGCAGGTAGGCAGACAGGGAGCCCTCCAGTAGGTCAGGGTTCCCACACACCGCATATTCTGTCTTACAAACATACAGGCACTTGGCGAAGAAACACGTGTTGTTCGCTGTTTGGGGAGCAGAGCAAAATGGTGTAATACAAGATGAGTTCCCTGTTCACATACAATTACATGCTGTTTGATCAGCTCTGCCTTTCCCTACAGCTGGATGTCATCACCAGCAAGAAAAACATCAAACCAGAACCAAAATAACTCACAGGGAAGTGCAGGTTTAGACAGATATGCTTTGTTTATAAAGATATAGGGGCATAACTGCAGACTCTGTATATCATGATATACATATGATATCATCATGATACAGAATACACTTGCTGCTGAACGTATTGTTGATGTCATCCATAAATAAAACATTTCTAGCTGCGTTTGCTTGGCATTAAATGTATAAACCCTAACAAGCAACACAAGCTACAGGACACGTGAGACCAATGCTTCGACATTTGAGGAAACATTTATTCACTTTCTTGCAGAGAGTTAAACGAGAAGAAGCTCACAAAGTAGTACGGTAAATACGAAGATAAGTTATAGCCAGGAGACGGTTAGCTTAGCTTAGCATAAAAACCGGAAACGGGGTGAAACAGCTAGCCTGGCTCTTTCTGATGTTAAAAATATCAAGATATCTCCTAAATATTTCCCTAATAGCGCTTCTAAAGCTCACAACTGGAAATGTTATGTCTCTTTTGTTTAATCCTTACTGAAAATAAATAAAATAAAACAAAAAGGTGTGGTTTTACTGGGGGTTGTGTGCTGCACTATTTCATGCTAGGCTACAGAAAGTCACTGCCTCTCGTCAGGAAGTAGTAAGGCACATAGCCCCCCCCCCCCCCCCCCCCCCACTTGTTGATTTTACACCTTGATTTTCTTTTTGCAGATTAAACAGAAGCAGATATGATGTTGTAATTATAGGAAGCTGTCTTTTCAACCTGGCACAGAACCAGGCCTAGCTGTTTCCCCCTTTCCAGTCTTTATGCTAAGTTAACGCTAACCGTCCCTGCGTTGTAACTGTTAGCTTCATATTAAATGGACAGACATGGGAATAGTACTGTATCGCCTTATCTAAGAGGCAGAAATTGGAATTATAGTTTTGCCAAACTGTCAAACTCTTTCTTAAGAAACAGGTCTGCTGGCGCTCTAACCTTGGTAGGTGAAGAAGACAGCTCGAAGGTGCGTCATGTGGTGATTGGAGTGTGAGACCTTTAGACTTCCTGTGACGTTTACCAGCCTGCCAGCCACCGGTGGACCCTCCGGAAGTCCAGGATCCTAACAAAGACATGGATGAATATTCGAAAGAAAACCCTTGTGGAAATAAGGTATCTCTATTAGGTGTAAGGGAAAGTTGACAGTTCACACAGTTCATGCTTACATAAATGCAATGTGAACCCTCTGAAGATGATGGGTAGTCTTATCTCTGTCTCCTCACCCATTTCACCTGAGCCCACAGTTCATTTCAATCTGATTCTTATCAATTGAATGTACCCTATTGGACGGTCTCCGCCAGCTGTGTAATTTAGCTGGCTGGGTTCATATACACTATCAAGAGCTTATACCTCCCTGAGACCATACTTTCAAGTCATGTCTCACAAACAGTAAATCAAACAACAATCAGTGTGTGAACGCTGAATTGCTGTTTCTCCAAATTTCCGGCATTCCCCAACGACTGATTGCGAGGCGATAATGATGAAGGGCTTCTGGCAGCCAAAGTCAAGACACAACGAGAGAGGATGACACAGTGCCTACAGATTAAAAACACACCCCATAAAATTACAAAACATGCAGAGAAGCAGAGAACTGATCTGTCTGTCTTTGTTTGTGTTTAGTGACAGGAAACTGTTAATGATCTTATATTTAAAGGACTAATATATATTTAAATAATGAGGCAGATAATAACAGTTGGACAGAGTGGAATTTGACGTGGCACTCTTTGTTGTTTTCTGTCTTGTGTGGTGAAGCGGTGACTTATATTATGTGTGGCTTCTTAATGACACTGTCCTAGTCAAATGACTGTATTTCAGAGTGAATCACCTCACCTCAACTAATGTTACAATTCACAACAGTCCGCAGAGTGTGTGTGTGTGCGTGTGTGTATCCTTGTGTGTGTCCACAGACTGTGGTTTATAACTGATCAGCTAGTTGGGAAATCCTGGGTTGGGCAAGCATGTTTGCAATCTTTGTGGAGGTGGGTGATTCATTTGTTGGCACCCAGGAGAAATGTAATATACATTTTTTTTTTTTTTTTACATTATACATAATTTTTTTTTACATTTTTTAATTTTTTGAAATGATTGCACTTTGTTTTGTCAGCCATAAATGTCAGCCTAATGATGGTTCTAGCACAAAAGTCGGGGGATCACCAAGTCAGCAGGATTCATTCTGCAGGAACCACGAATATCTGTAACAAAATTTCATGGCAATCCATCTGACAGTTGTGTTGAGATATTTTTGGTCTGGACCACAGTGGTTGGCCGACCAAACAGCAGAGCCAAAATCCATACAGCCATGGCAGCAAGTGTGGCTAAAACACATCTGATTAAAACATTTTTTAGTTTTTAAATTTGCATCAGGATTCTCTCTTTAAACTAAAGGGCCTAAAGAGAGAATTGTGAGAATGTATGCACCAGAGCCATACTGGGACCAATAAACGAACACAGATGTGCAACCAAAACTAAAATACCCCAAGCACCACTTGCCACAAACATTCAACTGAGAGGAGACTAAAAATACACAGAGTGTAACAGAGATGATAGTAAAACAAAAACAGGAAAAGACTATTAAGTGATAATGAGGCTGCACCTGTCCAGGTGAAAGCCAGCGATGCTCTGCGTTGTGTCTCTGGAAGTCAACAAAGTAGAAGAAGTCCTCTGGGAGTCTCCTCAATCCCTCTGCTGCCTGATACACACACACACACACAACAAACAGCACACACACACAACACACACACACAGCAACACACAAAAAACACCACACAGCACAGCACACACACCACCACACACACACCAACACACACCAAGAAGTCAAAGACATACACAGTGA